CGCTGCCCTGGCTGCTCCAGGGCACATCTGGCCCAGGTGCTGCCAATTGGCAGCTGACATCCGAGAGAGAAAGAGCCGGGGGGGTGGATTCTTCTCTGAAAGGAAGCTTCAGAGTTGGTTATCTTCCTAAATCAGTACCTGCCAGGACAAACACGCCCAGCGCTGTCCTGTGTGCTGCTGCAGGAGTGAAGGAAGCGGGGGAGGAAGCGGGGAGGGAGAGGGAAACGCCGGGGTGGGGGTGTGCAGTCAGCGCAGGTGTTCGGAGGTGGGGGGGGCTCTGTGGGATATGGAGGAGGGGCTTGGTGCCCCCGCCTCAAAGAAAGCCGGGGTCATTTCACAAATGCAGCGTCTGCCCCGTAGCCACGGATACTCACGGAGACCCCAACACACATGGAACTTCTGCTCTTCTCTGAGATTCAGACCCCCACTCCTTCTCTTTCTTTCCCTACTGAGAACTCGTCCCCTGAAACTCTCTCTCTCTCTCTCTCTTTCTCTCTCTCTATTCTGGAGAATATCAGTGAGGCATGAGTATCATAGATAGAACACTTTTCATAGATAGAACACTTGTTGATTGAGCAGTTGTGATGTGCCTGGTCCTACTTACGCCTCTTTGCAATAATTAAGTGGTTGTATCCCCACAATCACCCGCACAGTGCCATTATTCCCCCCCATTTTACATGTGAGGAACCTGAGACACCGGTCATTTGTGCAATGGTGCTCTCGTTGATAGACCCCGGGGTTTGTACTGAGCCAGCGTGGTGCAGATCTGCGCTCAGTGTCTTTACAAGCCACGAATCTGCTTTTGTAGCAGGGTGATAATAGAGGTCTTTTGGTGACCATGAAGTTAGAGCGTTGCCATGCTTCCAAGGGTGCATTGGTTACTTACGGTTTACAGACACAGACTTTAATCCTTAAATGAACATGAAAACCAGAGAGGAAGACAGTGTTTGCAGCAGCAGCATTAACTGATGGCGTTGGATTGTTCACGCCAGTGTGTTTTAGAAAAGTTAAAGATGGTTCCCAGAAGTGGCATCTGGTAATACCTGAGCAGGGCTTACCCGGTTTTAGATGAATGTCCAGGTACTAGTTCCTACAGTAAGGATGATGCATGGGGTACCCACACTGAGTCTGAGGAGTGGGTCCCTGTTTTGAATTCTGCTGAGAGTAGCCGGAGCAACACACTCCATCACTACCCACCGGCGACCCTTTCTGATGCTTCAGTCAGTGCCCATGTGTGATTTCAGGTCTAGAGGGACAGCGAAGGATTCCTATGGAAGTGGAGGTGCCGATGCGAATGATAATCTCGCTTCCCTCCATCTGCCCAGCCAAGTGCATACCTTTGAGTTTGGAGCCCACGTGGACTTGATTTCCTGGCCTTCCCTAGGTGAAGTTAGACCTTCCTCTGTAACACCAGCTTTGACCCGCTCCCTCATTTTCTTTCAAATTTGGGGTTCAGTTGTAGTCAGCTAATTAAATTAGGGTCAGTGCATGCCTTGTTCCTGTTCTCAAGCCCGGGACTGTCACAGTTGCCTAGCTATCCCGCGAAGCACTTTTCCAATAGCCTTCTACGCTCATCCTGCTGGATTCTCACAGCCACACCCTACGTGTGTCTCATTTTCCTGATTTTTCTTTTGGATGAGGAAACCAAGAATCTGGGCAGCCATGAGGTCAAACCCTGCAGTGAGTGAGCGCGGGGCTGAGGTGTAAACAAGGAAGAACTCCGATGCGCATGCTTTCACTGTTGTCTTCTCTGTAAGCTCCTGTTTAGTGGCCAGCAGAGCCCTCCCTGCATCCCAAGACCAAGTGAGCGGAGGAATGAGCGAGCCTAAAAAGCTTTTACCTCAGTGGACCGCCCTCACGCAGCAGGGTTCTGTGTCCTCCTCTGTGATAAGCCATTTCATCTGAATTTTTCACTGGTAGATGGACTGACCCAAGAGTTCGCAAAGACAAATCTGTGCCTTTGGGAGAGTCCTTCACTACTTTGCTTCTCTGAGGCTCAACAGTTGAAAAAGCCTGTTTTTCCTTCTTATAACTCTAGAGTTAGACCCAGACATGAAATCAAAACAGAGACTGAGTGCAGGTAGTCAGATAAGAGCTCAGCTCCCTCAGAGAAGACTGTTTCTTATTGCATTCTGCTCTCTGTCATTCCCAGATTCTTAGGCTCAGCATGTCTGGGGACGTTGTGTCTTCCTTAGTACATATGGAGCGGCTGGCTTACTGGTCTGGGAGTTGAGAGTAAAATGAACCAATTAGAAGGTTAGCGTGTAATTGTAGGCATACGGTGCCTGGAGGCGACCTTTGCCCGTCTCCTGTTTGACTACATTATTGTTGGCCACTTACAGATTATCTGATGGCAAAATTGCCAGCAAATTATTCCTGAACCTCCACTCACTGTGGGTCTGTGACACCCAGGGCGTGAGCCTTATGATTGCTCAGAAGCTATCTAACCAGAGCCTGGTCTTAGGACGTTTTGCAGGCAGAGCTGTACAGGTGCTGGACTAGCGCATCCTCCCATTTGAGTTTCGAAAGGTGATGTTGAAAGGGTGATGATTCCTCCATTTCAGCTTCTCTGCTGTGGCTCAGGCCGGCCACACACTCAGCCTCCTGACACAGATTCTTGCTCTCATTCCTCCTGCATCTGGCAGGTTGATTGCTGGCTCCACCATTCCCAAGCTTTTGTACGTGCCTCAGAGTTTGCTTGTATGGCTGAGAATGAGCTTTCTGTACCTGCTTGTGTGCAATGCTTAAGCATGTGAGGTCTAGAATCAAAGTTTGTGTTTCTACCAAGCAGACTCTGAGTCAAGGATTGAGTAGTTTATTGGTAGGGCTGGTCTTAGAAAAGAAAACTTCTTTGTAAATACTATTAAATAATAATGAATAAATTAAAGTGAATACATTTAAAATGATTAAGTAAACAAATATACATTAAATATAAATGGACTAGAATTGAAATAAATGTAAATTAAATAAAATTAAAATGAATAAATTAAAAAATCCTCAAGAGGCCTACAAGACAAAGAAAGAAAAGAACACCCATGATAATTATTGAATTATTAAGCCAAGCAGCCTGGTGGACAAGTAGAGCTGAGTTGCATACGCAAACTGGGTGAGAGATCACGGGCCCTCAGTCATCTCCTCTGAAGAGAAGGGACTGGGGGTTCACCCTCTACTGGCATTATACTCAGATTAAAGTCATCTTCTAGAGTTGGTTTTTTTTGGTCGGTTGTGGGTCTTGAACTCTGGGCCTGGGCGCTGTCCCTGAGTTCTTCAGCTTAAGGCTATCACTCTACCAATTGAGCTAGAGCACCACTTCTGGTCTTCTGAGTGGTTTATTGGAGATAAGAGTTTCACGGACATTCCTGCCTGGGCTGGCTTTGAACCGAGATCCTCAGATCTTAGCCTTCTGAGTAGCTAGGATTATAGGTGTGAACTGCCAGCACCTGGCTAGCTTCCAGAGTTTTGTTTTTGTTTTTGTATTTTTGGTCTGGTTGTGGGGCCTGAACTCTGCACCTGGGCTCTGTCCCTCAGCTCTTCAGCTCAAGGCTAGCACTCTACCACTTGAGCCACAGCGCCATTTCCGGCTTTTTTTTTCTTCTGCTTATGTGGTGCTGAGTAATCAAACCCAGGCCCTCATGCATGCAAGGCAAGCACTCTACCACTGAGCCACCTTCCCAGCCTGCTTCCAGAGTTTTTAAGAGAAATATTTCTAGTCAAACACTCCACCAGGTCCTACTCCTGGTATGGAAGGTCCGAGGCTGGTGGACGGGACACTTCCTTTGTATCAAATCAAAGGACACTTGTGCCTGGTTAACTCCTATTATTCATGCTTGCTAACCTCTTCGGGATTGTAGATCCCTTCTCTGAAAACAATATGTCTTGTAGTCCATACTTCACAGGGCTGCAGAGGAGACCAAGTGAGATTATCAGTGAGCTTAGCACAATGCGCACCTATGTGAAGTGCTCAAAAAGGTTCCTTTTTCTTTTCAAGTCTTTCTTAAGTGTCATGTAACCCTTCTCAAGTATCATGGGCCAGGATGGTGAAAGTACCCTGTGTAAAAACATGAAGAAAAGAGGCCACCCCCATCCTGGTGGGATGTGTAGTCTCTGCGTGCTAGACTTTAAATCCATTTTTTTCTTCAGGAAGAGCAGGTGATTTTGTGATTGATAAAAGCACCGGGCCTAATTTTGTGATAGATAGATGAATTATCCTAAGGATTTGCAAAGAAAAAAAAAAATTGAGCCCTGGAAATCGATTGTAAGTTTTCCTGTTTTTTTTTTTTTTTCTTTTTCTAACCACTGAAAGGAGCAAAAGTATACAAAGGAATCGAGTACAATTCATCTTAACAGCACATGTGTACAGCCCCCAAAATATTTCAACGTGCAATTGAAACAGCATTACTGATTTGATCCTTTTTCTCTCCGCCACTGTGTTATCGGAATCCAATTTGTATTTTGTACATATTGCGTCTCCATTTTGGACCAGCTCCATTTCAGCTGCTCACCCACCACCTGCGTGGTGGCTTGTGGCCACCATATTGAGCCACGATGAAGGAAGAGGGCGTGGGTCACTTCCAATAGAAATGTGCTACTGCCTTTCTCCGCTTCTTCCAAGACCACAAGGCTCTTTTGCATGTATGAAAGTGCAGTTGGTTTTTACTCAGGCATCATGGGAAATTGACAGCTTCCGTAATGAAATTTCACACATGGAAGCCATGGTGAGATTCTTAGCAGGTGTAAAATTCTGACGACGTTATTTCTTTCACCGCAACTTAATGGAAGCTGCAGCAGCTGTTCCCCTTGGTGCGTTTTCCAGATCTTGTTGCCAGAATGAGTTGTTGGCAGCCACAAGAGGAGGATCAACTTGCCTCTTCATTGGGGAAATGAAGTTAAAACCTCAACTGGTTTCTAAAAAATCACAGATTTGGTAAAAGAAAAAAAAAATGTTAGCAGGGCAAACACACAAGCCGCTGTTACAATATTGATGGCTTTGGTTTCCTCAGGTGCTGCTGCTAACATCTGCAGAAGATTTGGACTGCACTCCTGGATTCCAGCAGAAAGTGTTCCACATCAACCAGCCGGTGGAATTCATCCAGGACCAGACGGTCCTAAACTGTAAGCAGTGCGATTTGGAGATGCTTTTGGCCTACACTCGTATTTGCATTCACTAGTGTCTGGGAATGTATCTCAGGATGTTGTGTTTGCACAATGAATGTTTTCTGGTCATCTTTCTCATGTCCCTGATCCAGGTAGAAGCTTTGGAACTAGGACTTGCTGTCTTGGAGGTTCATAGCGTGGTGTGTATCTTTTTTCCCCCAGCATTTTCTCATCAGGGGGCATTTCGGCACCATTCCTTGCAAAAGGGATTGTCATGTCTAACGTGATCTCTATTCTGCGTAAAGGAAATGAAATCCATTTCTCCTGGGCAGACCCCCAGAGCACAATCATTGCCTTCCTGAAGATTATTGTTGTCTTACCTACAGTCCCTCCTATGTAGCATTAGATCAAAATAATGGTGAGGGCATGATATTGGCTGTTGACAATTTTTAGATGCACAAATAAAAAGAAGAGAAACTTGCATTCCCAAAGCTAATGAGATAGTCTTCAGAAAGAATCAAAACCTTTGCTGCTCATTCTGTGGCTTAAACTCAAATCCTCCCAAATTCCAATTGATTTTCTTCAAATGTACATCCCTCCAATGTAGGGTTATGATTTCTTCCTAGTCTTGATGCCAATATTCAACTCCTTTAAGAGGGCAGAGGGTACATGACAACATGCACAGCAAGTATAGCTTTGACACAATAGAATTGGAAATTGGTGGTACATCTCATTATTTAGTTGTAGGCCCTTGAGTGCCATTCTTTAACATTTGGGCGCAAAGGATATGAAAATGCTGGTCTAATCTGGTCACGTGCTCTAAGGCCCTTCTGAGGAATAATGTGATTTGCATCTGCCTTGAGGGTCTCAGCTGTGTTTCCTGGGTTAGGCCACAGTGTGTGGCTAGTGTGCTTAAAGGGAAGGAAGAAACACCGACTTGGCTGAGGAGGATATTCTGCAAGGGTCGCGTACATGTTAGGTGTTGAGCAGAATAATGAAGATGCAATGTGGAGCATCATAGAAGGAGCCAAGGTGAAGCCGTGCACATCTTGATGCAATTACACCAGAGAAATCATCTCAATAATGAGCGTCTGTGAGGACAAGGTGCAGGCCTGGCTCTGTAAGCGAATTCCAATACCTGATTCCCTAATCATCGAATCTCTGAGTGTGGCTCTGGGTCACACCATCCACAGTGCTCATTTGTCTCCCAGTATTTGTACTCATCAGAATCGATGGACTTCAAATGGAACTTGAGTTATGAGAAACACACATTTCTGTCCGCCCTCGCCTCCCCTTTTTCTCCCTTCCTGTCTCCGTGTCTCCGTGTCTCCATCTGTCCGTCTGTCTGCCTGTCCCTCTCTCACTCTCTTCTATTTTATTTTTTTCCAAGTGACTGTCTCAAATGGCATCTATGTTCTCATGCTTGGAAATGCAAAGCCACCCCGAGTATGGAAATTAATAGAGTTGGTATGCAAAGCAGGCCCATAAATGTGATTGCTTCTGTAATCTTCTCGACACCAAACAGCTTTTAATTCACCGCTGAGAAGCTGGAAACAATCATACTTTCGGGGAATCTTTTTAATTTAAACTACGCTATCCTGTACATTCCAATATCATAGTTTTCTGTGTGCCTGTGTGTGTGCCTGTGTGCCTGTGCGTGTGTGTGTGTGTGTGTGTGTGTGTGTGTGTGTCTTTTAATCCCCTAAGTAATTAAGTGGGTTATGGTTGTTGCTTCTGTGTAAGCGAGTGAGTGTAAATGAGGCTAGGCTGATTATCAGTGATAGCACATTCAGGAAAAGTCAGTGATATGGGAATTAAGAACATTTAAATTTTTATGCTTGTGCGTGAATTCTTGGGTCAGTAAAATCTGATGAGCCCCTCTCAGTGAAATTGGATGTCCATTTAAATTACTAAGGTTAAAAAAGAAATACAATCACCAGTTCATCCCAAAAGAACGAACATAAGCTAATCTGAGTATAGACTCCGTGAATATGGTTAATTGTGCCTAAAAGAGGAAGGCAGGTTTCATAAACTGGAAAATACCAATTGAGTATTATTGAGGAAGACCTGGATTTCCAGAAGTGGTAGTAATGCTTTGTTGTATTCCATTTTCAAGAGGAAAGCAAAATCCTCAAATACGGAATGGGCTTTTCTATGGAACCAAGTGAGACTTTAGAAGCAGCGTCTCCCACGTCCACTCTGCCTTCCTCCTCTCTCCCCAGTTTCTTTTGTGGCCTTCTCTCGCTGAAAACATGCAATTCACCAAGGAACCCATGAGTGGCCCGTGCTCCTAGAATGATGACTCTCTCCACACAAAGCAGGAGCCACAAGATATGCATGGGAAAGGAAAAAGAATTAAACCAAACCAGGAAGCTTTAAAATGCTAACCACCCAGGCAATGGTTGGGGAGAGCTAAGTGATACCCAAATCCACATTCAGGCTATTGCTACAGAGCGGGTAAAGAAGTGAGGCTAGTAATACCATCTTGGGCCTGCCTGCGGGCTTTGCACTGTCTATTGCTTCTTCTTCATTGTCTTATTTAACAGTTGCCAAACATCCTGAATCTCTGGGTTGGGAAAGGTGGAAGCACAGCCTCACCATTCTATAAAGTTGCCTGGAAATATTGCTTCTTGGCCTGATGGAGGGAGCGTATCTCCTCCTACCCCAGACGTGTATTCCACAGACCCGGTGTTCGGCTTTGAGCAGGTTAGCGGCAATGTTTATTCTGTCCCTGGCTCTCTGCTGTCTTTGTTCCGACAGTAATATTTCCTTTTATCCCTTTTCATCTCCTTCTTATTTCTCGATGACTTATCTTTTTCCGCTTTAACTGTTGCTAATGGTCACCTCCATTCCTTTTATTTCCCTAATATTTTATTCACTGTTCACTCCGACACATCTTTCCCTCAGTTGTTCTAAAGCCTTTTATTTTCTTCACATCCAAATAACTCTTTATTCTGCTCTCCTTTCCACTAACTAGACTCACTTTCTTCTTTAAAAGGCCATTTTTCAACAAGCTGATAGGATCAAAACATGGCATCCCACTATTCCTTCTCATGGAACCAGAAGAGCTCTTTCAGTGCATCTCTCAGCGTAGTGCAGAGCCCTCCGCTCATGATAACTTGGGGAAAACTTTTCGACTTATCTCAGTCTTGAAAGGAGAGAAGGGAAGATGTGGCTCTTCCCATTGTTTTCAACAAGAGGCACAAGGAGAAGGGAGAAGGCAGCTTTGAAGGCAGCAACTCCGGAAAGAAGTCATCCATTTGTGGTCTTTAGACTCAGAGAGGAATCGGCAAAGGGTTTAGGATGCCCTTGGCACGCAGAACTCTCAGATTGCTGGGTGCGGCTGCTCTTATTGATCTAGTAATAGGCAAACCACACGATCCCAGTAACTGGGTTGCCCTCTGGGCCAGTAACCCCGGTAATAGCCTCACGGCTGACACCCAGAATAGAAGCCCTCCAGGCTTAGACAAATAGCTTTCCTGGACAACTGACCAAGTATCTGGCCAGGGTGGGAAAATGCTAGGTGATAAACTCTGGTTCTGAACACTCTCTCTCTCTCTCTCTCCTGTCTTGCTAGAAAAACTTCCTGGCACTGGAGGGCTCTGTGGCCATTGAGTTCCCTATGGGAGACCATACTTGTGAGCCTCCGTCCTCTCCCAGTGGGAGAGATGCCCATCTTCCAGTGTCCACAAAGGACACTCCGTTGGCCAACCAACTACTAACAGGGCTGTGCTCTTCTTTCCCCCTCTGCACTGCCCCCCCCCCCCCATTGGTTCACTCTTACAGGTCTGCATGGACACAAACACACAGATACGTGGGAGGAAGTGCACACATAAGCTTCCTTACAATTCCACCTGTACGCTTTCTGTGAAGAACGTGCATTGGTTAGCCACCTTACGCCAGTGTTGATTTCTTACCTGAGTCATGAGGATACCGGTCAGGCTGGCTGCGTCTCTGCGAGTGCAAGGTGGCAGGTCAAGAATGGAAGGAAGACACCCTCGATGCTTCACTAATCTCCACTAGAAGGTGACGTGTGTCATTCCTGCTCTGCTCTAGCAGCAGTGCTGGTCATGGGCCAGCCCACATGAAAGGGAGGCAAGGATCCAGGGAGGACCCGCAGAGCCCATCCCTATGCACATGAAATGATGTTGTCCAAGCCAAAGCCAGAGGCAGACCCGAAAGGAGGAGCCGTAGCTGTGGGGGTCTAGTGAGTCTTCATTTCCTGTTGATGTGGTAGGGATGAATTAAGGAAATCCACCACCAAAGCTTCCCATCATTTTCCTGAACCTGGCTGAAATGAAGAGAGAACTTCTGGTGTATATGGTTTTTTATTGTTTTTGTTTTTCCCTGTTCACAGTTAAGTTCATTCTTCCCCTGTAATGAAGAGAAAAGGAGCTCGTTTCCTTTGTTTTGGATGGCTGCCCCGCCTCACTGCCCATGACCCTCCGCTCCCCATCTCCCACCCTCCCGGTCCCTCACGAGGACACGGGAGGTCGCACGGCCATGACACCGACCTTGGGAAGTGGCCAGGTCAGCCGCGAGCCAGTCTCGTTGCATTAATCATATTTGTATTTAACATACATGAGTCACGGCTTTTGAGGGTGTTTTTAATTGACTATAAATCAAACGGGGAACTTGAAAAATGAAGGCAATTAATGAAAAAGCAATGTGAGAGGTGTTTTGCATCCTAACGCAGGAAATACATCGCCAGTGAATTAAATGTCAAAACAAAGGCCCTTCTGACCCTGCGGAGGAGATTTTCTTCGGATGGTAATAAATGGGTGAACTTTCCAACCTAGAAGATGAAGGAAGGCCTGCTTTCTGAGCTCACGCTGACTTAGGCTTTTGTCTTTTTTTTTTTTTTTTAATTCTAGAGAAGTTCTGAAGTTTTTAGGTTTTACTTTCATATTCTGACTTCAAAAAAATAACAAGGATAATACCCTTTTTTATGGCCATCTTTCACACTTCTGGCATATTCTTTGTTTACTGTCAGGATGGGAGCCTGACTGACTGATGAG